CCTGCCACGGGCGGTGCCAGGGGACGGGCCGCTGCTGAGAGCGGGACTGACGTGGACACCTGAGCTCCAGCCTGAGAACACCGCAGCCCGCGAGACCACAGGACACGCACCGTCTGCATCGCCCCCGCCCACCCCGACCGTTCAGGGTTCGCCGGAAGTTGTCACGCTGGACAGGAAGTGCCCCCGTTTTACAAGCAACAACCGCTCCCCGCCCCCTTCTTCGTCTCCGGTCCTTGCTCCCTGAGCCGCAATCAAACCGCATGGACACGCTCAACACGCCACTTGATTGACATGTCGTTGGCAACCAATGGGAGCGCCTTCTTACTCGCGCTCTGGACCGCCTCCTCCCCATCCTTGACCAATCGAAGGGGCAAATTACCCTCCATCCGCTAGCTGATGGATGGGATCACCAGCCAATCAGCGACGGAGGTTGGATTTTCATCCCCCTCCAATTAGCATTGAGGAATGAGGGAGGTAGCGGGAACGGGCCTGAAGTGGGGGGTGTCAATCCCCCTTGGAACCACTGATAAGGGGGGGAGGGGCGGAGAGTGCGCGCGGCAGGGCCCCTGCCCAGAGCGCGGTGCTCCCGTAGCCCGACTGGGCGACCGCGCAGGGGGCGGGGCCAGGCTGCAGCGTTTGTCCAGCGCTCCCCCCCCGGGAATGGAGGGTTCGGGCCCCAACCCCGGGGCGGGGAGCAGCCGCTTGGAGCCCTGATAACGCGCCGCCCCGCTGCGCTTCCCGGGTGGCTCCCCCTGCGGCTCTTCGCCTCAACCACACGTTCCCAGGCTGGGTTCGACACGGGCCTGGGTGGAGCCGCTTGGGCTCTGCGTGTGGGGCTTAGTCAGCTCCTTAAGGTGGATCCGTGCAATTGGCCAGAAAGTCCTCGCGCATCCCTGCAGTCCCCCCAGCTACGCTCTCCCGCCCCGGCTCCTCACACAGCCCTGCCAACGAGCCTCAACCCTGCCAGTCTCTCTCCTCTCTGAGCTCCCCACACAGCCTGGCCAATGTCACAGAATATCAGGGTTGAAAGAGACCTCAGGAGGTCATCTAGTCCAACCCCCTGCTCAAAGCAGGACCAATACCAACTAAATCATCCCAGCCAGGGCTTTGTCAAACCAGGCCTTAAAAAACCTCTAAGGATGGAGATTCCAACACCTCCCTAGGTAACACATTCCAGTGCTTCACCACCCTCCTGGTGATTCCTAATATCCAACCGAGACCTCCCCCACTGCAACTTGAGACCATTGCTCCTTGTTCTGTCATCTGCCACCATTGAGAGCAGCTGAGCTCCATCCTCTTTGGAACCCCCCTTCAGGTAGTTGAAGGCTGCTATCAAATCCCCCCTCACTCTTCTCTTCTGCAGACTAAGCAAGCCCAGTTCAGTCAGCCTCTCCTTGTAAGTCATCTGCCCCAGCCCCCTGATAATTTTCGCTGCCCTCTGCTGGACTTTCTCGAATTTGTCCACATCCTTTCTGTAATGGGGGGCCCAAAACTGGATACATTACTCCAGATGTGGCCTCACCAGTGCCGAATAGAGGGGAATAATCACTTCCCTCAATCTGCTGGCAATGCTCCTACTAATACAGGCCAATATGCCGTTGGCCTTCTTGGCAACGAGGGCACACTGCTGACTCATATCCAGCTTCTCGTCCACTGTAATCCCCAGGTCCTTTTCTGCAGAACTGCTGCTTAGCCAGTCAGTCAGTCCCCAGCCTGTAGCAATGCATGGGATTCTTCTGTCCTAAGTGCAGGACTCTGCACTTGCCCTTGTTGAATCTCATCAGATTTCTTTTGGCCCAATCCTCCAATTTGTTTAGGTCACTCTGGACCCTATCCCTGCCTTCCAGCGTATCTACCTCTCCTGTCAGTTTAGTGTCATCCGCGAATTTGCTGAGGATGCAATCCATCCCATCATCCAGATCAATAATGAAGATGTTAAACAAAACCAGCCCCAGGAACCTTAGCCCTGCTATTCCAGTCCTGGGCTCCCCACACAGCTCTGCCAATGCCCCTCTGTCCTGCCCTGCAGCTCCCCTGCTATTCCAGTCCTGGGCACCCCACAGTGCCTGGCCAATGTCCCTTGGCCCGCCCTGCAGCCCCCTTATCCTCCCTAGGGGAGAGGGAGAGCTCAGTGGTTTGAGCATTAGCCTGCTAAACCCAGGGTTATGAGTTCAATCTTTGAAGGGACCACTCAGGGATCTGTGGCAAAAATCAGTACTTGGTCCTGCTAGTAAAGGTAGTGGGCTGGACTCAATGACCTTTCAAGGTTCCTTCCAGTTCTAGGAGATAGGATATATTTATTTATTTGTCACCCCATGGGTGAAAATATGTCTATGCAACTGTGGATGGTTAAGAGGGTAGGTATTTTATATCCTGGAGATATGAGCATCACATAGGTATATGGCATGGGACCACATATGAGAGCTGTGTGTTATATACAGCAGGAAAATGTAAATTTATCACATTGTGGTGAGGTGGACAATTATTATATGGAACAAGGCATTTGGAGTGGAGCTGGGGTGTGTGTGAGGGGAGCTGCAGAAAAGATCTATCGTTTGGAGGAGATATTCTTTCATGATCATTTATGTTATTAAATGGTTATCTTTTATTATATTCAGTGAAGGACATAGATTATTTCAGGTAGGGATTATCATTGGAAGATTAAATTATCCCACAGGGAAATAGGAGATAATCACAGGGGTCATGAATTATTCTAAGGGAGTATAAGATTATTTTCGTTATTTTAAAGGGGTATATTAGATTATAAAATACAAAATTATGAAATTAACATGTAGGATATATCATGCCAGAAAGGTATACAATTATCATATTGTGTTTGTGAAATTAATACTCAGGATACGTGGCTATCACAGTGCAGGGCATAAGATTACCACATGGGAGGATGTATTGCACCAAAGGAAAAGAATTTAGCGGAGTTTGTCACATGAAACTTTATGTGTTGAGACACAAGAAACTATACAGGTAAGAGATGGCACTTGAAGAAATAGGGGTCTAAAATTAGGTTTGTAAATGCATGTTTAGGCATTGACCTCAGTGTCACCTATTGGGTGCTCAGCATTTTTGCAAATCAGGCAAGTACCTAAACACGGATTTAAAGTGCCCAATTTTAGGCTCCTATTTCTGAAAATCTTGATCAAGATTATCACACGAAGAATAGATGGCACTAGCTAATATATTACATAGGGATATACAGTATGTATTTCCACATGGTAGTATGAGATTTTAACAAGGAAGAATGAAACTGGGGAACATGGTATTTAGGAAATTTTCATTTGTACATTTTTTCAGGAATAGTAAAGTAAAACCCAAAGAAACATGGTTTTGAAAAACTATTGTTAGGGGGAAATAAAAATATTAGAGTATCTTCAGGTCACGTTAGATTACAAAGGTATCTGTTTACCACTACTGTTAATTGTGAATGAGAAAACAGGCCTTTATTAGCCAGGATGTAGAAATTAACCACCATCCCACTATCAAAAGCTGTGGGGTCCTGACTGCCAAAAACAAAGCCACCTTTCTCACCTCTCTGGATACCAGAAACCACAAGTGCTGACCATCCAGCTGTCAAAATCTCCAGTTTTCCCGGATATATTCACCATTCAGTCAAGTGTTTTCTACATAAAAATCTGTGAAAACTTGAAAATATAGGGGCATCATAAATTGAATTTAATAAAAATTACACAAGGACTATATTCTTTTTCTGACTCCATCTGTTGTCTCTTGTTTTACACTTAGATTGTAAACTCTTTGGGGGTAGCGACCATCACTTTGTTCTGTGTTTGTTCAGTACCTTGCACAATAGGGTCTGGGAAGGAAGGAAGATTATTACACTGGCTGGGATTTGATGGAGGGGATTACCACAAGATTTAGAGGGTTAGGAAATTTATCACCTGGGTTGGGGGGAGATTATCATATGAGTTGAGGACCCCATGAGGACATGGGAGATTGTCAAACTGGGACACTAGGTGGAAGGTTGGGAGTAGGTTATCAAATAGATTGTGGGGATTCTTAGGTTTGATGAATGGTTTTGAGGAGATAATCACATGGCAGGGTTAAAAGATTATCTCAGATTGGGGGGATATCACCAAAGGATCTACAGTCACATAGGCTCAGGGATGGTAAGAGATCATTATGAACTGGGACATTACATGGGTTGGGTGAGGTTATCACGCATATCTGAATTATCTCACTGAGATAAAATTATCATCTGGGTTGGAGGGACATTATTACATGTGGGATTGCAGGAAAGTTGTTATATATTGATGGATAATATCAATATTCACTTTAAAGCATTTTTTAGATTTGTATTTAAAAATCTACAGCTGTGGGAAATTAGGGGGGGTAATAGTAGTATTTAACGACAGTAGATGCTGAGATTCAAGAAGTTAAAGCTTTATAACCATTAACAACTAATTGTCAACATCACATGTCAACATATACAAATATCATTAAATCAAACTCTAATAAATTCGCAACTAGCATTTGTTTTACTTTGCCTAGCTGTACATTTTGATTATCGATGGAAATATTTTTTTCACTGGTTTGTGTGTGTGTACCGTGAAATTGACATTTACCAACATTTACTGATAAAAATCTAATCTTTCCAAGCCTGATTATTGCCTGATTTGTCATAGGGATACTGATGTCTGTGTGTGTGTTAGTGTTATTGAGAAGATGATCGTGTAGGGGGAATATTACATGGGTTGGGATTATGGATCGGGGCGTTATTCCCCAAACGGATTGGGGGGGGGAGGATTTTCCAGGTGGGTTTAGGAAGTTATTCCTTGGGGTGGGTTTAGGGGGGGTTATTCTCTAGGCGTGTTGCGGGGGGGGGTTATTCCCGGGGTAGGCTGGGTAGCCCCCTCTCTAGGAGCCTCCTTAACCCGGGGAGGCGGGGGCGGCCGCAGCCGGGGGGAGCAGGGGGAGGCGGAGCGGAGGCCGGGGAGGAGCCGGGGCCTGCATTGGAGCCGCAGCCCGGAGCAGCCGGAGCAGCAGCCGCAGCAGCCGTGGGAGCGGCGGGGCCCGGGAAGACTCAGCGCCGCCCGGACGGGGCCCCCCGCAAGGAGCCCGGGGAGCCCCCCAGGAACGAGCCCGAGGCCCGGCGGGAGGTGGCGGAGGCGGCCGCCCAGCCCCGCTCAGGCCCAAGAGCCGCCGCGGCCTCCAGTGGCAGCCGGGCCCGGGCGAGAGGAGCCGGGGCCTGGGGAGGGGGAAGCCAGGGAGAGCCCCCAGCTAGCCCGGGGTGACAGCCCCGTCCCCCGCCGCGGGAGAGACCCCAAATCCCAGCCGTGGGGCGAGAGCCTCATAGGCAGCTCCCTGATCCGTAGCCACGGGGGAGAGACCCCGATTACCAGCCCCAAATATCTGCCAAGCGGCGGACTCAGCCCACTGACCGGGGCGAGACCCTGTGCAGCCCCCTACCCATCCGGGGTGGAGCCACCTTTAGCTCCCCAGTACTTCGTCAGAGGGCGCAGAGAGACACCCTCCCCCATCCCTCCAGATCTAAAATAGACGAGGAGACACCCCCTCCCCCATTTTTCCCAAGCCCAGCCAGACAGTCAGTGGGGAACCTCCAGGAGAGAGACCCCTTATGTCCATCGGGGACAGAGCAACCCCTCAAATACTTAGCCAGAAAGAAGCAAAACACCAAATAGTTACCCAGTAATTAATTAACACCCATTCAGTACCCAACAAGAAAGTAAGGCCTGGGGAAGAGACACCTCTCACCGACTGGCAGTGCCTAGAACACAGTTCTAGATACCAACCTGGCAAGGGGCACTCCCCCCGAAAGAGGAAATATCTTCACACTCCTATAAAGAGACTGTCCCAGTATCCCATGTAAGGTGGGGGAGAAACACCTGCCAGCCAGCCACCAGGGAAGAGAAAAGAGACTTCCCTGAAATATTCACAGTTAGCAAGAGGAACTCCCCCAGAGAAGCGGGAGATTTGCCTGCCCCAAAAGGGGACGTGAACCTATAGGGAAGAGAAAAGGGACCCCCAGTTAGGGAGGGAAGGGGGAATTGATCTCCTATATAACCAGAGAGCCAGTGGGGAGAAGAAAACAGTATCTCCCCAGAGTGACACCCCTTAAATAGTTAGCTATTAAAGAAGAGAGAAAGGAGGAGATCCCTATCCTAGGATACCACCAGCAATTTACGGGGCAGACAACCCCAAGCAGATCATTCTACCTCTCAGGGTCCCGACTTCATCCACAATCCCCTCCCTCTCAAAATCTGAAGAAGATCTTGGAATACCTGGCAGCAATGCTCTGAGGATTGAGTCCAGGGGAGGAGTGTGAAGGGCAGCACCCCAAAAACCAGTGCTGGAGATAACGCCCCCCTCCCTACAGAAAATCTTCCAGACAGAGTGAGTGACCACATTACATCACCCCTCTTTTCCCCTCAGTTCTCCTTCTGTCTATTCCTCTCTATCCTTCTCACTTCCCATCAGTTTTCTCTTCTGTCTATACCTCTCTGTAGCTCTCTCCATCTTCTCTCTGTCTTCCCATTTCTGAATACTCCCCACCCTTCTTTCTCGGTGTGCCTTTCTCCATTTTTATTTCTGGAATTAATTGTCTCCTTTTATTCATTATAAAGAACCAGCCTGATTTTCTTTCCAGTGCATTGCTTTTTGGAGATCCTAGCCTCAGGGTATTGTATCCAAGTCCCTCTGGCATTCCCCATCCACCATCAGTCATTAGTGTATTGACTTTATTGTGGACTCAGCCTTCATCATCACTGACATGAAATACATTTCTCTCATCCAGGGGGCAATACGTAGGATCATGTTGATTGAAAAGACTGTGGGGGGGGGGAGGGTGAATCCTAGCACTGGTGCTCTAGGGGTGTGTATCATGTAATGCTCATGAGGCTATGTGTGTGAATCTTGCTGCTAGTAACCTAGGGGTTGCAGAAACCCACTGTGCTTGGGACTGGGAGTTGTGTGAATATCAGTATTAGTACTCTCGGATGTAGATCCCACTGTACGCAGGGGCTCTGGGAATGAGCCCTTTGGTGTGAATCCCATTGTACCCAGGGTCTAGGAATGAAAATCTCAGTGGTAGTACTGGTGGAACCCACTTTCAAAACTAAGAGGATCCATTCCATTGCTACTACCCTTCACATGTGGATCCTGCTCTATTTAGGGTCTGGGAATGTGAATGCTGATGCTTGTGTCATGGGGTACAGGCCCTGCTGCCTTGTGAAAATGGGATAGTTAAATCCCACACCAAGGGAGCCCTCTGACACTACCACAGTGCTCCCTCTCCTTCCCCAGAAAACACAGTTACCCTGGGTCATTCACTGGGAAATCAAGTCCAAAAGAGACATCACCTCAGAAGAGACAAATTCAGATTCCTTTAGCAGATGCAGCACCCCAAAGACAATCCCATAAAAATCCCAGTCTGAGGTATCCCTTTCCCTGTTCAAGATACTGGCATAAGTTCATTCTCCTGAGACAGTCGCAAGGAAATCCAAGGCCAAAGGATCCCTTGCTGTGACAGATACCAACTCAGACTCCAGTAGGAAAATACATAGTAACAGGGAAATCCAAGAATGAGGATCAAGAGGGATTCCTTGGTGTAACTGGACAGTAAACTCAGACAAAAGAGTGTGAGGTCACCCCCAGATGACTCCCCACCTTTGCCATTGCATTTTGACCTCTCTGTGATTCTTAGGGTGGCACAGTGGATTTTACAGAGGGAGACTGAAATCATAGATTATTAGGGTTGGAAGGGACCTCAAGAGATCATCTAGTCCAACTCCCTGCTCAAAGCAGGATCAATCCCCAACTAAATCCCCAAATGGCCCCCTCAAGGATTGAACTCACAACCCTGGGTTTAGCAGGCCAATGCTCAAACCACTGAGCTATTCCTCCCAATGTTTGTGTTCTGGGGGTGCTATAAGATGCCCTCCCACTTGTTGCTCTCTAGTTTTGAAATCCATCTGCTTTGAGTAAATACATTGTCTAGTGCAAGGAAGGCAATAACAGACATTTTGGCCTTCGTACACTCAAAGGGATTTACTGACTCTTCCTGCTCTTGGGGTTAATTTACCTTCCTCTGCCCCAGCTCTTACAATAATGACTTGACATTTTTCTAGTGCCTTTGGTTCAGTCGGATGCCACAGCAGTTTACTGAATGTGTATGCCAGCCTTGCAAAATTCTGCTTGTCCACAGCAAGTAATATTTTGAAGGGTGTATAAAAGATTTGTATTTTCATTCTTCTCTGTCATTGTGATAAAGGATGAGTTTTTAGATTTTGTGGCTGAACTGGTCAATATGACAGTTTTGCAAGGCGGAATGCTGTGTGGGGCCTGTGCATAATTGTTTGTTATTTATTCGTTAATTGCTGACAGAGTACTCAGTGCTGTTCTAGACACACAAATTAGGACAATCTCTGCCCTGAAAAGCTTGCAGTCTGAAAGACAGATATGCAAAAGCCAGGACATGCTGGTAAATCCAGGGGAGGGAGTAACTTGAGGGGTGTATGGTTTGCTGGTTTTTGTTGATACTTATTTACCTGGATTGGGTCAGGGATGGTCTTAATACTTACTCCTGCCTATGAGTGAAGGACACTGGACTAGATAACCTATCGTGGTCCCTTCCAGTTATATGATTCTACAATTCTGTGATTGTTAACCCAAGGCTGAAATGCTGCTGCCTCTGGGGTGGAATGCTGCAGCCATCCTGCACCAAGGATGTTACATAAAGGTGTAAGGTGGGAGGGGAAGGGAAGAACATTATTTATCTCCATAAATGTGCAAGGTGCTTTACAGACAAATAACAGGTTTATGTCCTTAGGAGTGTAACGAAGACGTTCAAACCTAGGTGCCAGTCAGGCTTCTAAATCCACCTAAATAAGTGACCTGATTGTCATAAGTGTCCATCAGCCCACAGTTGACTTCAGTGAGAGCTGCTAGGTGCTCAGCAGTTTGAAAATGAGGCTACTTATTTAATTGCCTGAATATAGATTTAGAAGCCTAACTTCAGGCACTCAGGCTTGAAAATTTCATCTTTACAGTATAAGCAATATGATCCTTTGAGGTGCTGAGTGTCCTCAATTTCCAAGAAAGTCAATGAGAGTTGAGGGTACACAGTACCTTTCAGGTTCAGGCCCTAAATAAGATTTCACATTAGATGAGAGAGATTAAAGGGGCAGGACAAGGGTTACCTAAATGAATGATAGCATATAACATTAGTCTCATCACGTCTTGTTGGTTCCTTGGATTTTGTTTTAAAATCCATGGTTTTATGGACAGTACCTGGGATCAGGATAAGGGGTCAGGCAATACCATATTGAACTGAAATAGCAGGGGCAATTTAAGGAGGCTGAATGTTAGTACCCAATTTGGAATCTGATTGCGACCCCTGATTCTTGTGAAAATTATTGAATTCAGGGAGGTGGGACACTTGTAAATTCAATTTTTTTGCTTTAAGAAATGTTACTGACCTTGAATGCTAGAGGCTGTTCCTTGGTTCTCTTTGTAACCCCAGGGGCCACAGCAATGCAGGCATCTTCCATACACTACCCGCACCAATGGACCTCAGCCCTGGCCTTGTGTAGCCTCCTGTAGCGGGGAGTTCAGTCTCCATGATCTGTTCAGACCTTTGGCCTCTGCTGAGAATGTCAGCAGGGAGACCTGTTAATGCCATCTGTGATGTGGGCATCTGCCCATGAAGAACTGCACTAAGACAAGTAATTCATTTCCCCAATTCTCCCCAGCAATCAACTAGTCCCCCTAACCTAAGGCCAGATTGTAACCATTATCTTACAGGCAGAGCCCTGTGAGTTCTACAGCTGCAGAATAGTGCTTCAGAATCTCAGCTTTCATTTTAAAATAAATTATATTTCTAGGCCTGATGGTTTTGAAGATAACCTTGAAAACATGAATCAGGTATTTGAGTCTGCAGAAGCTACTCATTCAGGCTCTAAGAAGTGTGAACTGCCCCATTCATTTCTATTGGATGTTAACCTGGAAATCTAAAGATAACCATTTAAATGTCAATAATCACTAACTATTTCACTGCTGATTATTTAAGAGAAACATCCAGCTAATGTGCTCTTTCCATTCCCAAACTGCCTCCCACACCTCCCTACGTACCAATAGCCCCAACTGTTCCCTATCCTGCTCTCAAAATCTTCAGCTTGCGCTATGAAAATGTCTATGATACAAGTTATGCACTGTAAGTACAAAAATCTGTGGCATATTAAAAAAGTGAAAATGTGGAGACAGTTTAAAATAAATTGCATTTAATGTACAAATGAATAACACAGGGGAGACTGTACTGAATGCACTATTCATTTTCATATTTAACTCATTTTAAAACCTCCATTTTAAAATGTAAATGAAGCTGCTGCAGAATATCCAGAAGGGCTCAATCTAGAGACCTTGTAGCAGAGTTCAGGGCCATCTGGTTAAGGAATTCTTGGGGCTTTATTGAAATGTGAAAGGCTCATTATCCATTTCCCCATCACAACATGGGGCCTGATTGGGATTGGTGCCCTAGAGGTGAAAGACTCAGAATCCCATTGCTGCAACTAGTTATGTTTTCCTCTGCTGATTCTCACTCCATGTCAGCACTCTCCTCAAATCCCTTCAGTGGCTTCCTATCTGTTATTGCATCAAATTTAAGTTCAGCTTCTGCACCTTTAAGGCCCTGCGCATTTTCACCCCACCTACGTCTCTGCTCTGATTTCCTCCTACTCTCCTGCACTCCTCCCAGTTCTCTCTTTACTGATCTTTGCATCTCTTTTTTCCACTCTTCTTTGGGTCTTCTATCTTGCTGCCCTGTATGCCTAGGACACTCTCCCTGTCCTCATATGCCAAGCATCCTCCATCTCCTCCTTAAAACCCATTTCTTCCAGGAATCTTTCCTAGCTGCAGTGCACTGGGCCCCTCATCAGTGGTCTTCCACACTGGTGTTGTGACCCTGTCTTGCCTTTACCTTTGTTAGATCATATGCTTATGGGGGCAGGGAGGTCTCTTGACCTCCAAAACACTCCCCAGAAAAGATAAGCCTAGTGTATAGAGCACCTGATTGGGACTCAGGAGATCTGGAGTCTCTTCTAAGCTCTGCCACTGGTCTGCTGGGAGACCTTGGGCAAATCACTTTGCCTTTCTGTGCCTCGGTTTCCCCACCAGTAAAATGTGAGGAATGAAACTGATCCTTTATAAAACACTTTGAAATTTAAGGATGAAAAGTGCTATCTAAGAGCTAGGGGGTATTATTATTCCAGATCTATCTAAGGTAATGAATATTAGGAAAAACCTTCTGAAATTAAACAAAAAGCCTTTCAGACCTTGCTTATGCATCATGAAGGAGCAAATAGAGAGCACAGACTCAATTTTTTTCCTTTGCAGGTCAT